GGGCCGCGCAGGCCGCAGTCCAGGCTGAGGCAGTAGCCGGCGCGGCTGCGCTGAATGGAGCGGAAGAGCACGTAGTCCACGGAGCGCACGGAGCCCTGCAGCTCCAGCAGGCACGAGTCCTCCGACGGGCTGGAGCCGCCGGGCGGGTCGCCGACGGCCGACAGCACCAGAGACCCGCTGTCCATGGACACTGTGGACGGCAGGGGGCGCCGGGTAGCACCGCCAGGCGCGGCCCGGGCAGTGCGTCTCAGGCCCAGCCTCTGCGGGCCGCGATGCCCCCAGCTTCATCTCAAAGGAGACCGGTAAGCCCGGGGTTCCCAGAAGCCACCACCCTCGCTCGTCCCTACACCACCAACTTGGCCTTAACTCCCTTCTTTGCCCCCACCCAGCTCTGCTACCCAGGCAGCCGGCCCCTGCCCACCGCGCCCACTCCCTCCTCACCATCTATGACGGAGGACACTCGCTCGTAGATGCAGGAGCCGTCATGAAGCTGAGGATCAAACAGAGTGGCCTGCGGAAGACACGGGGGTCCAGGGTCCAGCCCTACACACCGATGTGGCCACCCCCATGGGCTGGATAGAGCTCTGGAGGCCTAGATTCCAGTCCAGCTTTGTCACTTTGTACAAGTCACTTATGTGAGCCTCAGTTTCCACATCTATAAAACAGAAATAATAGTTCCTACCCGCCCCCCCCCACTTCACCAGGCTCTAGGGAAGATCAAAGGTGACGGTGGATGTGCCAGTGCTATAGGATCGTGAGGACTGTGACTGTCCTTGTCCAGTGCCTGCAGCTCACTCCTCGCTCGGCTTTTCAGGCTCTACCCCGGCTTCCCGGCCCACACCAAGCCCTGTTCTCACCTGGCTGTCTCCTCGCAGCCCCATGACGGCCTCATAGGAAGGGGGGCAATCGGTAGGGTACAAGGGCACGGGGCTGTCCATGGAGCCATTGTAGGTGATGCTGGCAGGATGGAGGAGAGGGTCAAAGCCTGGCCAAGAGCTCCCCACCCGCCCAGGCCCCGGCCCAGCCCCCTCCCCCTCCTTAGTTCCCGCGGCAGGACTCCGCCAGGCCGCACCTCTGCGCATCTGTTTCCGAGCTGCAGGTGTATTCTGGGGGATAGTAGGGAGGTGGTGGCACAGGCGGTACAAATTCCTCCAGGTCCAGCATGGTGTGTAGAAGAGGTGCTGGGGGCGAGGACGCACAGCCCAGAGGCCCCAGGGGGCCCGAGACTGAGCGCTCAGGGGCCAGTTGCTGGGCAGCAAGGAGAACTGTAAGCCTGGTTCCTGGGGATACCACTCCTCAGCGCCCCAATTCCTCCTCTCCCATCGACATTTTCTGGCCCCGCCCCCGCCGAGCTCAGTTCTGGCCCCTCCCTCAGCCAGACGCAGCTCCCCATCTCGCCCTGTCCCCACCCAGGCTCTGCTCTGGCCCTGCCCATCTAGAAATTCCTCTTCTTTATGACCCACCTGCACCCAGAAGCACCACCAGCTCTCTGTCCCCATCAGAACATCGACCCTGTATCCCACACTCATCTAGGACCTTCCTGACTCCGCCCAACTTCTAATCTCACTCTCTTCCGTCCCCTTTCCCGGGCCCACAGTGGCATCACATACGTCTCTTACTCCGTCGTGCCCCTCCTCACCGCCCTGGAGCCCCCTACACATCCCTACGGTAACAGACACGCCTGAAAGGTGCCCCACAGCCCCTGGTGCTCAGAAGCCAGTGCTGTGGCCACCGCCCCTTGACCCCAGTCCCAGCATGCACACCCCTGCCTCCCATTATGCCTTTCTGGCCTTGACCCTGGCTCCCCTCACCGTGTGCACAAGGTCCAGGGAGAAGATTTGGATGCAGCAAGCAATAGCTGAGAGGGTACAGATTATGGCGGCGCAAATGGTGAGCCCGCAGACGCTGAAGAGCAGGTTCTGGGCAAGGGAAGAGAGGGAAGGGAGTGTGAGAGGGGCCTGGGGAGAAGGGATCCCGCACATCCCGGGCCTTGAGGACCCCAGGAGGGGGGGCACGGCGGGGGAGGAAGGAAGGGTGGAGGTGGGGGTGCACGCTCACCTTGAGGGCCCCTCGGGCTTCATCGCAGGTGGAGTTCGGGGCGACTTTCAGTTCCTGCCCTGAGTCGGGACAGGGCCGGAGGAGGGGAACCGGGGGGCAGCACACGCAGACCTTTCCTTCCTGGTGGACGTGGGGACGGCGAGGCAGCCGGAGTCAGGACAGACCCAGGTGTGCCGCACACCCCCCAGCCAGGTCTCCCCGGCTCGCCCCCCTCACATCTCACCATGGAGCAGTCCCGGAAGTCTCGGGCCAGCTGTGCGTTCTTACAGGAGAGAACGGAGCCAGCCATGCTGAGCATGACACACAGCACCGAGAGCAAGGAGAAGAAGGAGATCTGAGGGGACAGGGGACCGGTCAGGGCTGGGGGCTCCGGGCGCCCCCTGCACGGAGGCCGCCACCCTCCTGCACACACGCGTGCATCCGGCTGGCACCAGCCGGAGAGCCAGGTCCCTTCTCTAGGGCATAAACGGGCAACCCCTCAGGTGCTGGGCACCTGTCTCCCGGTGGGCACCAGACCCTGGCACCTACCACTAGAGTGAATG